AAGTAGTAGGCACAGAAGCCACGTCCGATTTAAACTTACCATCCAGTAGCGACTCACACTCACAATCCATATCCTCAGTAGATTCAAAATTCAAATGCGAAGTACGCACACTAACCACGGGCGAATTACGCGTAGAATACTCGCGCGTCTCGCCCGGATTACGCTCACAATCCGCAAGCGACTTACACCGACCATCCACAAGCGAAATACACCAAGCATCCACAAGCGAAGTACACGGACCATCCACCAGCCAAATACTCCCAGAAACGAGAAGCGATTTAAGCTCACGATCCAGAGTGGATTCACGAGCATCAACGGACACATCTGAGCCATACATGGATTTAACTAAATATACCTTTTTAGACAAGCTGCGAGCAATACTAGAACGACGCAACAGGAGAGCTCTGTTTATCATGCTTGGCTTGATATTGATACAACATCTTGGCGGTAACTTCATTGCCACGCAGCACCTGCGAGATTTAATTAGCAGAAAAGCGATCTCTATCGATCGATACAACGCGTTGATTTGGATCGAGCTTCTCCGCGTTTTATCCGCCTATTTAACCGCGTTAATAGTGGATTGGATTGGAAGAAGAAAACTTTTGATACTGTCTATTGTGGGGACGTCTTATACATCGTTTGTTTTATCAGCTTGCCTTTACACACAAACACAAGAGTCTGACGATTCCACCATCGCTTTGATTCCCCTTATCCATTTAGTTTTGTATCAAGTAACGTTTCACATTGGTTTAGGTGTATTACCCAATGTTTTCCTATGCGACTTATTTCCTACGAAACTAAAAGGCATTGTTGGTGCCATCGTTGTGATTTTCGATGGTATAATTGGTTTTACCACGTCGAAACTGAATCAGGCTATTACCGATAATATAGGAGCGTTTGCGAATTACATGATGTTCTGGACATCATGCTGGATGGCATTTATGTTAACGTTCCTATGGGTACCGGAAACGAGAGGAAAAACATATCACGAGATTGAAGCGCTTCTATTTGGTGAAAATTTGAATTCTTCGAATGAAGAAGTTAGCAATGATGAAATGGATAGTCGTAGAATATGACAGGAGAAATTGCATTGTACATCCATGGCACGGTGTCTACTTACTCGGAATATTTTATTTCTCATTTTTACTATTATAGCGACAAAGATCTTCAATTTTATCACGATATGCAATTTCTGTAGTAACGGAGTTTTATACGTTTCTAAGTGTACTTTTAGAATTGTGTCTAACAAAGGTAGTGATCATTTACAAACATATGAATAGTATAAATTGCCTTGCATTGAACTTAGAGGAACACATGTTCTCAAACTAAAGTTTTTATCCATTTCATAACACGAACAATGTAACAATACCAATTAACTCGAGATAATTGGACAACAGTTTGCAAAAGTAAGAAAAGTGATATATTAGGAAAGGACAAGGTGACATAATACTGATAAGAACAACTT